ACAGCGAGGCCGTGGAGTGGGGGTGGGGGGTGGGTGGCCAGTGGGAGGTGGAGCGGTGGGAGCCCGGAGGAGAGAGGGGGGCTGCCGGCCCGTGGCTGGGAGGGACCCCCCGGTGGGAGCTGGGAGGGCGCGCAGACCTTTTCTTTGCACGTTTGCAGTTGGGGTGCTCAGCGTCAGGCTTGGGGGGGGCAGTCTGGTGCAGTGGTTAAGTGCGCGGACTCTAATCGGGTTTGATTCCCCACTCTTCCACTCGCAGCTGCTGGATGGCCTTGGGCAAGCCACAGTTCTGTCGGAGCTGTTCTTGAAAAGAGCATGTTCCGTCAAGAGCTCTCTCAGCCCAGGGTGTCTGTTGTGGGGAGGGGAAGGGAAAGGAGTTTGTCAGCCACTCTGAGACTCCCAAGTGAAGGGCCGGGTATAATTCCAATCTCTTCTTCTTCTTCTTCTGTGGGGTCTCAGGCTAAAGAGCCCGCCTGCCAGAGGGGCCCTTGTCTGTCTCCCCTTGAGATCTCTTTGAAGTCCCTCCCCCCCCCCCTCCGCAGAGCTGCCATGGCCGAGCCGCCCCGCCCCACTGAGACGGAGTGCGCCTTGCGCCGCTGCCTGCCCCGCCGCCTGCCCCGCCGCCGCAGCAACATCTACGTCAACATGAAGACGGACTTCAAGGCCCAGCTGAGCCGCTGCCAGAAGCTCTTGGGTCCCAGCGGGGGCTGCGCTGAGATCTGCATCCACGGCCTGGGCCTGGCCATCAACCGCGCCATCAACATCGCCCTGCAGCTGGAGGCCACGGGCGGTGGGTCGCTGCGCTTGGCGGCCAACACCTCCACGGTGGAGCTGGCCGACATCGCCGAGCCGGAGGGGGACGGCGACGAGCCATTGGCTAGGACCCGGAACAACTCCGCCATCCACATCCGGGTGTGCCGCGTCACCCCAGAGTGACCTGAGCGTGTTGCGGGCTCTGATGCCAGAGGAACGGGGCCTCCCCGCCATTCCACGGGCACTGCTGGCCACACATGGCCCATGGCTTGGGCCCTCCTTCCCCGAGTCTTTGGGGGCTTCGTATCCATTCTGGGGGGCACATGATGAGCACCCCCGTGCCCGCCTGACGCTCCAGTCTCCTCACCTGGTTCTGTTGGTTCGTTTCCCTCTTTTCTGGGACTGTGTTGGACATTATGGTCAGAACAGCCCCCCCCCCCTCCTCAGGGTTGTCCTGCACCCCAAAAGTGAATCGAGACCCGGAAGAGGATTCGACCGCCTCCTGGGCGGGGGGGGACATCAGGCTGGTTGTCCTGGCACTGAAGTGAACTTGTTACTAAAGGGCAGCCATTTTTTTCCATCCACAAAAAGCATGTGGGGAGAGCTGGAGTGGGGGCTCTGTGTCTTCTGGGGGCCAAATTGGGGGGGGGGCTGTGTCCTATCAGGGTGCACATCCCCGACTGTGTGTGTGCGTGCTTTTGTAGCAGTTTGGATTGCGGTTGTGGCTCTTCTTCAGATCGTGGAAATAAACAGTTCGATGTTTTATGGAGAGGTGAGGTTGTGTCTGTGGGGCATCGCTGGGGGGGGGGGCAGGGGACTCTTTTCCACGGGACTCTGTGAGCCTGCCTGCAGGGGAGATTTTGCAAAAAGGGATTCCTGGTCTTTTCAACTGCTAGAAGCCCTTCTTCTCCGGCTTTCTTCTCTGACTCTCTGCAGCTGGTTTATACAGGATGACTTGGTGTCTTGCCCCATAGGTGGGGGGCAAAACTGCCCTGCTCCAGGGATTTCTCCTTGGGCTGGGAACTGCTTTGCTGGAAGCCATGGGATGCCAGGTATTTTCTTCAGCAGGCTGTTGGGGCTCACGCTACTGGCAGTAGACGGTCAATTCCAGTTCGGGGAAATCCTGGTTGACACCACGGGAGGGTTCAACTTCGAGGAAGCCAGGTTTTTTAAAAAAATAATGTTTGGACTGTGGCTGCTCAGTGAGGAGAAGTGGACAATTCCAACAGTGCCTCCCACACAAGCAGGCAGCTGTTCCAAGTCTGGGAATGGACAGCCCTCCACACTCTACACACAATCTGGAGTGATCTGCACGAGGTAAACAGGAGCCGGCAGGGTCAGAGTGTCGGATTAAGGCCTGGGAGGCCCAGGTTTAGTTTCTTGCTCTGCTGTGGAGGTTTGCTGGGTGATCTCTGGCCAGTCACACACACTCTGCGTGACCTACCTCACAGGGTTGTTGTTTTTAGCATAAAACGCAGGGACAGAATTATGGAAGCCACCTTGCATCCTCACTAGGGAAGAAGGAGATTGGATTCATACCCCGCCCTTCATTCAGGGTGGTTTACAATCTCCTTCCCTTCCTGTCCCCTCAACAGTCACCCTGTGAGGTAGGAGGGGCTGAGAGAACTGTGACTGACCCAAGGACACCCTGTTGGTCATGTGGAGGAGGAGCGGGGAATCGAACCCAGTTCTCCAAGGTTAGAGTCCGCCGCTCTTAACCGCTACATCAAATGAAATGAAGCAAATAAATCCCCTTGACCTTTTCTTGCAAAGAAAGTGGTCTGGCAAAATGGACTCCCCCCCAGCACTATGGCAGGTTTTGCTGGCAAGACTTCAGTTCCGAGAGTGTTCTGTGATGGGGGTCATTCAAGAAGCAACGCCCTGGGCTAGATCCACCCAGCCAAGTCTGGCTGTGGCCAGGGGCCAACGTCTGCCGGCTTGAGGCTAGCCTCCCTCCCTGCCTGCTGGTCTTGTGCGAAGGCAGACCTTCCTACCCTGTTTCAGACCCAGAAAGCGAACTGTCTTGAGCAGGGGTGTCAAACTCATTTGTTATGAGGGCCGGATCTGACATAAATGAGACCTTGTTGGGCTAGGCCATGTGTGTCATAAAATGTAATGCCAGGTAACAGAGATATAAACTTTATAAAGGATGCAAACACAAAGGGGGGGGGGGTATTAAACAAAACATGCTTAAAACATCAGCACTCTTGCAATATTCTGTTTATTTAACAGTGTCTGATCACTGACACCTCTTGCTCTGAATTACTCCATCAAAATGTCTGTGCTGTTGCAATCTTGAGTATGCTGTTCAGGTGTGTATCTGTAAGCTGCAAACCTATGATGACGCAGCAGCAGCAGAACTGGAAGAAGAAGCAGAAGACAGCCAGTTCCACTGCGGGCCCGATAGAAGACCTTTGGGGGCCTGATTCGGCCCCCAGGCCGCATGTTTGGCACCCCTGGTCTCGAGGGTCCAGCTTTTTCCATGGCCGTCGAAAGCACCGATCACGATGCTGGCGCTGGAGGGGCCTGCGTCTGTCCTTGTTGACCCACTCACATGGCCCCTTCTGCTGAGCTTGTTCCACTGGAGGGGCAGGGAAAGTCCAGCCTGAGGCAAAGCTATCTTTGGCGCTTTTCTGGATCTGGACCACAGCTCCCGAGAGCATATTGTCTTCGCAGTTACGTGTTACAAGACAGCTTTATCATCACACAGGGTCGGAAATAACTTTTTCCAGCGGACTGGCATTCCCACACTGCCACACCGAGAAATGCGTCTTCCATGCGCGTCCTGATAAGATAGGGGACCTCAAAATGTTCCCAGTGAAACAAGGAATGGCTCCTACATGCCCTGAGCGATTGGGGTTGGGGGGAGTGCGGTGCGAATTTGCTTGCCGCAGAGGATTTGCGTTTCTAAAGAGGGAGGCACCCTTTCCTACATTCCTGAATGTGTAGCATAGTGGTGAGCAGAAAGCACTCTGTGCATGCATAGGAACTCTTCGCTCTTACTGCAGCTTTTCCCACACTGCCAAGTTATGTCACTGGATAGGAACTGAAGGGGGGGTTCCCTGGCTCACCGTGTCCCTTTACTGCCACTTACCCGGCTGTTCCGGAATTCCGTGGGCTTCCTTCCCAGATGCATTTCCTTGTGATCTCGAGGAGCCCACAGGATTCTCCATGACACCGAGTAACCCATTTCCCCAGGAAACTGCATAGCTGCTTTCGAGGAAAGAGTTCAGGATGCATCTCACAAGACTGGCGAGAAAAGTGCGTAAGGTCAGCAGAGGGCTGGCTGCACCCCCTCCGCGCCAGAGGTGGCTACCGAAGCCCGGAATCCGAGCAGAGCGTTCCTCGGGTACTTCCCAACAGAGGCACTTGTTTGTCTGTTTGAAGACCTGCTCTGAGCAAAAGCACTCTGCGGGTGGCCAGAGCTCCCGTTGCAGTGATTAGAGCCTCCAGGTGCGAGGGCAAAGAATTCCCAGCAAGGGGGCGGATGCAGGAGATGGTATCAAAAGCTGTTCCAGGTTTTGGCCCGAGGTTTTAAGTGGCTTTTCTTTGCAGTACTTGAACAAATGTCATTTATTTATTTAATTCATCCCTAGCCCTCCTTTCTCCCCAGTGGAAACCCAAAGCAACTCACCTCCTTTTCCTCTCTTCCCCTGTATCCTCTCAACAACCCTGTGAGGTGGGTGAGGCTGAGAGTGTGTGACTGGCCCAAGGTCACCCAGCTGGCTTCCAGGGCAGAAGGGGGATTCGAACCCGGGCCTCCCAGATCCCAGCCCAACACTCCGCTACACCAAACTGGTCCAATTCACAACAAAACAGGTAGGATTGGAGTAAACAGTAAACTAATTCACAGTCGTCGTAGGTGCTCTGGAGTGTTTGGAGCCCTGGCGCACGCAGTCTCTGGTACTCCTCATAGCACCCCTGCAAGGGCCACAGGGGAAGTCATGCAAGCAGTGACAGAATTCATGTTCCTGGGACCCAAGACGACTGCAGACGGTGCCTGCTCCTTGGGAGGAAAGCGATGGCAAACCTTGACAGCATAATAAAAAGTAGAGACATCACCCTGCCAACAAAAATCCATAAAGTCAAAGCGATGGTATTCCCAGTAGTCATGTATGGCTGTGAGAGTTGGACTATAAGAAAGGCCGAGCGCCAAAGAAGAGATGCTTTCGAATTATGGTGCTGGAGAAGACTTTTTTTTTTAAGGTTTTTATATCAATTTTATTGACAACTGTAATATTAAAGGAGTTGTACATTAGTTTATAAATCTTACACAGTTATCTTGTTGTATTTGATAAGGTTATTCATCTTTGTTCGAAACGGCAGGACATTCCGGAGACCACCGTCTACACTTATTATTGGAAATTGTTCACTTTTTCTATATTGTATAATTATGATGATTTTTCTTTTTCTTTTTTTTTGTATTTAAATTTTTTATTCATTTTAACAATCAACTAATAGAATATATGTCCGAAACAACCAATAAGAAAGTTAGTAGTTACAAAGTACAATGCTTTCAAATGTAAAAGAAAAACAATCAGACAATAACAAGTCAATGCATCTATAATTCCCTGATAACGACAGTTTATTATCCAATGAGATGACTACCCATATGTTTAACATGAGCCCATTGAGGTAAGAAGTGGAAAACACTGCCTGTGTTTTATGTTATTTATTGCAGGAGCATTCACATCCATTTCTGCATGGATTGCCAGGAAGCAGGTAAGTATTCTTCTGAGGCAAGAAATTCTAGTATAGGAGTCCATTTCCTGGAGAAGACTCTTGAGAGTCCCCTGGACTGCCAGGAGATCGAATCAGTCAGTCCTATAAGAAATCAACCCTGACTGTTCCCTGGAAGGCCAGATAATGAAACTGAAGCTCAAGTACTTTGGCCACCCAATGAGAAGGGAGGGAGCACTCCCTGGAGAAGACCCTGATGCTGGGAAAGATTGAAGGTCAAAGAAGACGGGGCCGGCAAAGGATGAGATGGTTGGACAGTGTCATAGATGCAACAAACATGAAATTGAGCCAACTTCAGAGGACGGCGGAAGACAAGAAGGCCTGGCGGGAGCTGGTCCATGGGGTCGCGAAGAGTCGGACTCGACTGTGTGTCTGAACAACAACAAGGCCCACAGGATGACCCCACTTTTGCTGATGGCATGGCTTGCTTGGGCTTGTCCTAGTGAGTTGGTGGCAGAGACGAGATTCGAACCAGGGACACCCTGTCTGAGATCTTGGACTGCTTCACCAGCTCTTGTGGTGCCCCCGATGCCTGGTCTCCTGCCAGTGGCAAAAAAGATACTCTAGGGAAGGCCAGGTGCAAAGCCTGATGGGAATATCCTGATGGTGGCGCCTTGTCTGTGATCGGTGAGAGTGCGCTTCCAGCTCATAAGGCCACAGGCCACACGCTCAGTCCTTTTCCGAGGCCACTTCTGCTATTAGCCAATGCAGTATCCTGAAGCTGAGAGTTCCACAGGTCAAAAATGCATCCCCGGAAGAAGGTTCCATTCTGCGCGACCACTGATTTGGCCTCTTTGGCTTTTGAAAAAGAGTGGAAGTCTTCCGGGCTGTTTCGTGCCTCCGAGCATCAACTGCTGCTTTCCTCTTAGGTGGGCTAGCAAGGAGGAAGG